CACTGTGTGCTTTTCTTAGGGTTCTCCTGATTTCCAGAGCTGATTTAGTGGGGAGCAGGGGGGAGGATGGAAGCCCCAGTTGCAATAGTGGGATTTGTGCTGGCTTCTGTTAACACAAATGTTTCATTTAATCTGGTTGAATTAGTTAGTTGAATCTGGCTCAATGAAGTGTGTTAATGAATAGCTTCAAGCAGATGCAGTTATGGAGGTACATATATTGCTTTCAGCTCCAAATGTAGGGATTTGGGGAAGTGTCATGGGTGCCAGAGAGAGGTGGTGTCTTTATTCAAGTAATATTGTTGTTGTGGGGAGGATTTCACTTTCACTTTCACTTGCATCGTTGTGGAAGCAAAGAACTGAAAATCATGCTGGAACTCCTGATATACACTTGCTGCCCCTAAAGACATAGGCTGTTCTTATTTTCCAGATGAGACATTAAGACATGGATAGCCTATAGTTTTGCACTTTTATCTATGGGCAACAGTTTAAAAACCAAGGCTTGCTTTTCACTATGTATATTTTGCCAACTGTTTGTATTTTCATTATCTGCACTTGGTTGATTATGGACTACACAGGCTGTGGGTTGACCACATCACCCTCAAGTCATATGCGGAGTCCTGTGGGAAGCGTGAAAAAGATTCAACATTTAGAACAAGAAAATAAAAGCAAGTTGTTTTGAACGGAACAGAACTGGACTGGATTTTCTTTTCAATATGAGCCACCTTGGAATAGCCCTTGAATTAAAAAAAAATTCCAAAAAGTGTAGCCAGAATCTTCAGAACACTCCCAAAAGTATTATACAACTTGTATTCATTGACAGCCAGGTTCAAATACTCTCCAAGCAGCAGAGCAGATCTTTGAAATGTGGTTTTATAAACATGACTGCACTAGTAAGACATGGAAAAAGTTGCAAAGCTGTCACTGTCTGATCAGCTGGGGAAACAGCAGTAAGGGAGGAAAACTTCCTCTTGTACTGAATTTCAGGAAATAATTTCTCCCAGGCATTTTCCTCTACCTCAGAAGTTGCTCCCTAAAATTTACAAATAATTGATCATATTTATCCACATTTACCCATCTGCACACAGATATTAACTATGTTTGCCACATCCCACAGCCATCTCTTTCTCTGACCTCTTTTAGGGCTGATTGGTAAGATTATGTGTGGTTGGTGGAGGTGTTAGGGTTGCCATATTTTGAAGAGCAAAAAAAAAAGGAAAAAAAGGCAGCTATTCAAAGCAAATAAATGCAATTTGTCACAGATTTTACCCCTTAAAAAGAGGGTGTGTCTTGGAAAAATAGGACACGTGGCAACCCTAGGATAAAGGGAGGTAAACCTCCGTAGGATATGTTTAAAATCAAAATCTTAAGTTCAGCAAAGTTTAATTGTGGAAAAAATAATTTTCCATACACAAACAAACAATAAAAATAACAGGCAAAAATATGATTTAAGTATTTCATTTATAAATTGCTTCCTATAAAGCATCTTGAAGCAATTTTACATCTCAAAGTGCTGAATAAAGGATATCCCCAATAAAAATTACTACAATAATATCATAGTAGTTATAGTTTGTGCAAATGGAAATTTAACATATAAGATAATATGCCAAGTTGTAACACAGCTTTGTTCTTTAGTAGCATCTGGTTGAAGTTACGGAATTGGAAATCTGACAGTGTATTAATAAACACCCCTGAAACTTAAAATACCATGCTTGCTTACTACTGTTTTGTCTGTCTATGTTGCCAATCTTTATGTAAATAAGAAACAGAATGCTTACAAAATCTTTAAATCACACAAGCAATTTTAATATTGCATAACGGTAAGAAAATGCCATTTTTTTCCATGCAGTCGTTTAAAACTGACTTTCGTGTTTGCTTTACTATAAATAGATATATTTTTATAGCTTCCTTTCCATCAGGCTAGCCAGAGAGTTGCAGTGGTTGAATATAGTCCTTTAGACCAGCAGTTCTCAAACCATTTCCCCCACAGACCACTTGAAAACCGCTGGGGATCTGGCCAGATCATGGTAAACTTGCATTGGTTTTACTTCTCCATCATTATCAAAACCAATGTCACATTATGAAAATATAGATCCCATACTAGGGTCTTTTAAGCTTGTTTGATAATTTGGCCTGATCGACACAGCCTCAGTCTCCATTGTTGTCAGAAGAAAAACATGCAAAGTGCAGGGCTGAGTGTACAGTGGTACCTCGGGTTACATATGCTTCAGGTTACGTACGCTTCAGGTTACAGACTCCGCTAACCCAGAAATAGTGCTTCAGGTTAAGAACTTTGCTTCAGGATGAGAACAGAAATCGTGCTCCGGCGGCATGGAGGCAGCAGGAGGCCCCATTAGCTAAAGTGGTGCTTCAGGTTAAGAACAGTTTCAGGTTAAGAATGGACCTCCAGAACGAAGTAAGTACTTAACCTGAGGTACCACTGTACAGATATTCTTGGCACCTTGCAATTTTACCACAGATCGCTTGAATGGATTTCGTGGGACAACATTACTCCACAGACCACAGTTTATGAACTCCTACTTTAAACTATATAGTGTAAAAGGGACACATTATTATATGTTTTATTTTGTACTGAAATAGAGATAGATGTTGGATGGTGTGAGAGTAGGGTTACAGGCTTTATGCTGCAGCCTTAGGTAGCGTGTATGTATGTGTGAAAATATGGCAGTTCAATACTGTACTGAAGGCTACTTACCTATATGCATATTAACGTGATGTTGCTCTTAAATGAAAAGGATTTAGGTACTTATTAGCATTGTTTAATAACTCACGTGTGTTATCCGAACATATGGTGTAACAAATGCTGGCTAGGTCTTCCTCTTGTGGCAAGATGAGAGACTGCACTGAGGGAGCAAGGTTCATTCATGTGCATGGAAACCGTGGCAGTGTCAAAAAAGCATACACAAATTATGTTTTCCACAGCTTTACAGCTCAAATTACTCTTACATTTTCCACCCTTTGCTTACTTGGATATATATGTGTGTGTTTTTATTAGACCTACTTCTTAGTAATGTTTTTTAGGATTAGGATATTAAACATTTTACCTCCTTGCAGTAAGAAAATGCTTAGCCACGTGCAAGTGAAACAAGCCTATTTTGGTAAGGGGACTATTAGAGAAAAGATTAACCTATATTATGATTTCTAATGCAAATTGTGCTTTCCCTCTAGCAATTTCTCTGTTTTAAATTTATTTTATTATATTGATCTGGCCACCCAGTAACGTAAGTTCTTGTTTAAAATGTATTTTCCCCCCAGTTTTTTTATTGGTTTTCACATTTATCACATAAAAAAGAAACAAGAAAAAAGAAAAACATTACATAACACAAAAACAAAGAAAAGACATAAAAAAGAATTATTACTTCCAATTCCTAATTTCATTACATTGATATCTGACTTCCTCAAATCCCCTCTAATTGAATTTTGTTATATCACCTGTTTAGCAGTTCTCCAAATTCATATTTCTAATAGTATTTAGCTTCTTTCATTTACTAACCTTTTCTCCTTTATTAATATTCTAATCCTTAATATTTATTAACAACGTATTCTTATTCTACCCCTAAGCCTATTTATTACTTCCAAGAAATTTCTCTTTATCTTATATTACAATATTTAGCTAAATATTCTTTAAGTTTCTTACTTGTTTAAAATGTATTGTCCTCCTTCCCCTGTCCCCATAAGTGAGGAGTGGTGTCCCTATTCAAGCATGTAATTAGCAGGGAATGAGCAAAAGTCACCTTCTCCAGCCCCAGCTGTCCATTGAGACCCACAAATCAGTCTGTGCAGTTCACAATGTGCTACTGTAGCAAGACAGTGAGTACAAAATGAGTGGAAAATCATACTGAAAGCAGGGCATCTTTTAAGAAACGGGGGCCAGGATTTTGAATAAATAAAAACACCAGGAGCAAGCAAGTCAGGATATATGCATATGGAGTGGGGGCTACGGCTGCTGCAGTGGGAGGGGGGGAAGCCGGGAAGCCACTTGGCTTTAGGCAATATTGTTTCCTGACTTCTGATATGATGATTAGTGGTAGGTTCCCCCCCCCCCTTGCTCACACTATTCTCAAGGGAACTTCAGAGGCTGAGGAGGACCAGGAGACATAGATGAATTCATAAAGAGTTAACTATCAGGCATGTTTCTTCCTTGGCTGAGGAGGGCCAGGACACCAGCCACACCCTTCCCCACCAGGCTTCACACCCTCCTTGAATATTTTTATCTTACTTGAGGTGGGTGAGGAAAAGGAAGTTAAAATGAATCATTAAGCTTCCCCAACTCAAAAAAAGCACGCATTAGAACATAGCTGCAGAAGTCTTATCACAGAAACAGTGGGTCAAATTAATTAAGGGCAAATTCCATAGACTTTATCGCAATTCATTCCAATAGGGTCAATGAACAATAGACTATGAGAACATTAAATCGGCTTATACATGGTAGGTATTTGCAAAACCAGGGTCTTTTAATTTGTGAGCTGCTAAACTACCATGATATTTACCAAGATGTGTATGAACTGGAGGTGGTTTGGGGTTGTTTGGAAGAAATTAGATTTTAAAAGCTGAACAGGAAACCATTTAACCACAGAAGGGGAAATGCAGTTTGTTTTCAAACATTCACTTCAAATCAGGAATAACAATGGTATTGCCTGAAGTTGCCTACAAATAATTTCTAATCTTAAAAAAACACTTCACAATCCTGGAATTGCAACATCTCAAATGAAATCAGTAGGCGAGTTAAATTTTTCGTAATAGCAATATCGCCATTCTGCCACAGTTACTGACTAGAATCTGCCTGAATGGTTTTAAATCACAGCTGCCTCAGGACTTTATTGATTTCTACACTGCAGTATAAGTGGCATGTACTGAGGAAAAATTTATTATGGACCATTAGGTGGTTAAGTAAACATTCCTCAGACTAGACACTTGTTCTTTTTAGCCCACACCTTATTTCAATGTAATGTTGAATTGATTCTTCCTTTCTTAATTTTCAGGATACTGGAGTTGGCAAATCTAGTATAGTTTGTCGATTTGTTCAGGATCATTTTGACCACAATATTAGCCCCACTATTGGGTAAGTACTATACATACATACATACATACATACATACATACATACATATATAATATGTTACTACAGTTTCAGTTTAGTAAATAAACAGAACTGATATAATCCATTTATATTTCAAGTTTATGGGAAAGCTCACTACTCAACACAATAGTGGTTTTGTTCATTCTTTCGAAGTGTTGTATAATGTAGAGAGCTATTAATTGAGTAAGCCTATTAACTTTCTCTTTAGGTAATGCCAGTTCCACACTATTAACCATTATGTACCTTGAACGGTTATTACTTGTTATGCAACTAGGTGGGGGGTTTTTTAGATTAGCTTCTAGAGGATGGAATTATGGGGTGTTTAGTTATTTTATATTGAGTTTTGATGTATAAACATTAATTAGCAGTCAATTAGATCTCAGTATTAATATATGGTTTCTAGCTTCTCTCAAACCTCTATTTTATTACAATTACTTTACTGAATAGATGTATATTTTTGTCTCTTTATTTTGTTATTTACTGCTCATTTCTGTTGGAACATAGCCATTGTCAGTAAATGCTTTGGCAGGACTTAGTATAAGTCAAGTTACAGTTCTGGGAACATGTGAAATAACCAGTGCATCTGTGTGCATAAAGACTGCATTTCCTTGTATCATCAGGAGGGATATATGGTAGTCTTCCTCCCCATTTTATCCTCACAACAGTCCTGTGAGATACAGTAGATTAGGCTGAAAGTGAGTAACTGGCCAGAGGGCACCCTGTGAGCTTCATGGCTGAGTGGGGATTTGAACCCTGGTCTGGCACTCTTAACAACTGTGACACATTGGCTCTCTTTTATATAGCTATGGTTTTCAGGCAGGCTTTGGCCCAGCAACTATTTTATTAAATAAAGTAATAAGAGCTCTTGGAATATAACTGATTTGTGGAAAGCCTATGGCTCTGAGCCATTTGGGTAGATGTAAAAAACCCCAAAAAACTTTTTTGAAAAAATTAGTGCTTAAGGCCCGTATAAGTGATTGATGTTTTTGACCTCTCTCAGAACATGGTATTAAATAGCTCTTTTATTTAGGTTTGTATATTAAGCTTTGGTTTTAATAGCATCTACATGAGGAACATCTGAACCCAAATTATGATATTTAAAATTTACTTGCTGACAGTTCCTAGGCGTGTATCTGCTTCCAAAGATTTTATAATTCATCACATCGCCTTGGCTTTTAACAAGACAGGATAGCACAGTGTAAGTGCATGGCATGTAATTCATCTTCATTAATTTTTCCAAAACTTCAAAGCTTACCAACTATGCAATATATGATTTGAATTTAATGCATGCATGTTTATGTCTAGAGACAAATCTGCCAACTTGTGCTAAAAAGAAAACTTTGGAGGCTTAAAGAACGATTTTATCCTTGTGTCATGCCTGCCAGGAATTATTCTATCATTGCCCAAGTCCCTCTGAGCCAACATAGCACAGTGCTATGCTGGCAGAAAAAAACAAACACATTGGCATAGTAGTACAGATGAGCAGCTGCATAAGAGATGTTGTTGTTGTTTAGTCGTGTCCGACTCTTCATGACCCCATGGACCAGAGAGTCTTCTCTTCTCATGAGGTGGCCAAAGTATTGGAGCCTCAGCTTCACGATCTGTCCTTCCAGTGAGCACTCAAGGCTTTTGCATAGTCAATGAAGCAGAAGTAGATGTCTTTCTGGAACTCTCTAGCTTTCTCCATAATCCAGCGCATGTTTGCAATTTGGTCTCTGGTTCCTCTGCCCCTTCGAAATCCAGCTTGCACTTCTGGGAGTTCTCGGTCCACGTACAGCTTAAGCCTGCCTTGTAGAATTTTAAGCATAACCTTGCTAGCGTGTGAAATGAGTGCAATTGTGCGGTAGTTGGAGCATTCTTTGGCACTGCCCTTCTTTGGGATTGGGATGTAGACTGATCTTCTCCAATCCTCTGGCCACTGCTGAGTTTTCCAAATTTGCTGGCATATTGAGTGTAGCACCTTAACAGCATCATCGTTTAAAATGTTAAATAGTTCAGCCCATAATTCAAAGAGATACGAAATACTTAAGTGTAAATAATTTACCAACTTTTACAGGAACAATTCAATTTTTTTCTCATTGAACTGGAAGGTCATATATTCATATTTTTGTTTATTCAGAGAAAATGCTACATGGATATAGTTCGAAATACCGTAGCGACATTCATATAGCAACTTCTGTAAATCTTTGATTGAACATCACTGGTACTTTTATTATCTAGCGGCAGTGTTTTTCATCTGTAGTATATGTACATACCTGGACAGGTATTAAGAAATGATTTGTTGATAATATAATAAGCTTATATCTAAGTATTGTACTGCTTTTTCTTACAACCTTTTAGTGCTTCTTTCATGACTAAAACTGTGCCTTGTGGGAATGAACTTCATAAATTTCTGATCTGGGATACAGCAGGGCAAGAACGGGTGAGTATCATTTACATGCTGTGCCTCTTTATTTTCACTAAAATATTGGGAAGTAGATATAATTGATAATTACAATGTCAATGAGGTGTGGAGCACACACAAAAGAGTTAAGGTGCTATGGAGGCAGGGTCAATCATTTTTTAAAAATGTGATAGGCTGACCGGAAGTGGGGGTAACCTCCTTGCAACTTCCAGTTGTTAACAGGAAAGGCCTGTAAGGGCCAGGGCCACAATAACTGCAACGAACAAGAGACCAAAAAAGCAGCAGTTTCATGGGCTATTTACCTGTTTGTGCTTGTTGTTTTTCTATCCAATTCAGGTCTAATAATTATTAGCACCTCACTCTTACTTCCTACTTCCATCACCCTCATTTCCCCAAATCTCTCTTTCTCTAAATAGCTTTTCCTCCTGGTGTGTTTATGTGATGGGATGATGAGCTGCTCGTGCGTAAAAGCGTAGTCCCTCAGAGTCTGTGCACGTTCACAAACCTCTGTCTGTGACGGAGCCCCTCAGACATGGCTGCTCTAGTCACTTGCAGATTCCGACAGTGGTTGCTTTCGGAATCGTTTCCAGCATAAAAGCTCCTTAACGGAAACACGTCTTCTGGACTCACGGCGTGACAGTTTCCGGCGAGGCGTGGGTCTCCCTATGGGAGCTTCAGATACCTCCCCACTGTTCTCGCTGGAAGCGTCTCTGAGCCCTCCCTCCTGCTCGCATTCCCTCAGAGATCCACTCCTCCCCCGGCTGGTTCCTGCTTCAGCTGTTGAGTCTCTCCCAGCCTCCCTGAGCCCCTCCACCACCTGTTCCTCCGATGGCAGTTCCCTGACAGTTTAGGCCTCCACTGCATTTTTCCTGGTTTTCCTACCTTCAATCTATAAAAGGCAATCAGCTTGCCTAATAGTTTAGGTTTATGGTCCAGACAATGTATGTTTTTCTATGTTGTTACACCTGACTGTCTTGTTACTTTTATTTGTGTACTAACACTTAAAGTTACAAAGCCATTTCACTCTGTCTGCCATTTTGTGTTAATAAGACTTTAATCACAGTAAATTGTGTTGGTTCTTGCTCATTCCCATAAGAGGACATTACTGCATTTCTAAAGTAATTGTGTCCCTTGCAATATTCTGTGGCATGTGGTTGTCTCCAGTAAAGATTACTGAAGTGATTATTTCTTGAACATGCATGTAAGATACATTTCCATGCGTATAGGCCAGGGGTTAGCAAACTTTTTCAGCAGGTGGCCGGTCCACTGTCCCTCAGACCTTGTGGGGGGTTGGACTATATTTGGAGGGAAAAAATGATGTAAGAGCACCACAAGCCCCGGTGGCTACTTACCTGTGTCTTGCGAGCAGCAGGGGCTAGCGGTGGTGGCAGCGGAGGGACGATGAGCGGCGCGCGAAAGGGCTCCGGAGAGGGGTTGCTTAAAATGGCGGCCGCTTGAGTGCTGCTGCTACTGGAAAACACTATTTAGCCCCATCCTCTGACTTCATCAAGCGTTGATCTTATATTATCATCATTATTATAATAATCTTATTGCTTGCTCCATAAAATGTGGTGACTTACAACTGTAAATATCACTGCACCCTAAGGGTTAGGGTCTGTGTAGCTCATTTTCTTTTTTAAAAAATGAGACCTGGTATTCACTGGATCCTGATGGAGGACATTCCTTTGATAGGGATGACACCTCCTACTGGTGGTGATAGGCAGGGTCCTGTCTTTTCCCACCTTTCCAGGGGGAGGAGCCAGTCTTCTCTTCCCTGACTGACTCTGTCTGGTTGGTATAGATTGGGTCCACCAGCGCTCTATAGAGATTTGTCTTCCTTTCTTTTCTTCACAGATTTATTCAGGGGTGTTTTTGTCATTCCCCAAATTAAATCACAGATAAAGAATGAAAAATGATTTTTATAAGAGCTGAACACCATTCAGTTTTTGTATATTTTGCTATATAGCAGGGGTAACCAAGGTGGTCCTGGCCACATAATCTGTTGCAGTTCACAACATCTGGATGGCAACATGTTGGCTACTCCTGACGTAGGGCTTCACCTAAAAATTATATTACGGTACTCCTTGATACTGATAACTAAGTGTTCCTGTGAGGAGAAACAGGTAAATACAGAACTTACTTAGGCCAATATATTATTATTGTGATTAAGCTACTCAGTTGAACTAAATCAGTAAATACACTGAGGATCACGCTGACATTACTTTAGTCTTTACTTTAGTCTTTATGCTTTATAAACTTTTTTCCTTTGGAGATGCAAAGGAAGTTGAATGGATAAATCAAATAGTATTGAAGAGACTGGTGTATATTGTCAAGTATTCATTCTCTCTCTCTTACTTATTTTAATAAAACCTATTTCCAAGTAAGTGTTTCATAAGTTTAACCATTTGCTTTTTTACTTAGAAGTAACTCCCACTGAATTCAGTGGAACTCATAGGACTACAAAGTTGTAGTTCCTAAGTTTCTCTGGAACTAAAGTTCCTATCTGTTACTGTTTTATAGAAAGAATGTATTTAATCTGTTTTTTTTAGTGTGGATTAATATTTTCCACACAGTTTTCACCAGCTGGGAATGTTAGCTATTTCCTACCCCCCCCCCCCCCGTCACCTCTCTTATGAACCAAGCAGCTTTTCTTTCATGATAATGTGCTTGACATTTTTAGTTTTTTGAAAACAGACTTTAAATTCATAAACCAATTCTTCTCCATGCTGCTATTATGTTTCTAACCTCTAGCTTCCCCAACATAGAGATGTGGATTCAAGTGTGCCTTTCTGTACATGGAAGGTGTCTGTTGCTGACACTAGGAGTGCTTTACATCTCCTGCTAGAGCGTTGTGAGATAAAATGGAACTAAGTCTTCAGTCCTAGGTGCAACTCCCACTGAATTTCTGTGGATTTACTTCTGAGTAGACATGTGTGGAATTGTGCTGCAGATTCCAAATATGTTCTTCAATTTGCACAAGTAAAAGCGTAAAAATTGCTAAAAGGTGGTTTGTGAAATACTGCTTGCAGCTATTTCCCTTTTGCTCATGGCTTTTTGGATCTGCATAGTCCATGCCTTATAAAAAAATTCTAGTATTGCCCACAGGAGGGGTCTCTAGACAAAAAGTTGCACAAGTAATTCTTTGATGTCTCTTTAGAGTAGAATAATTATAGTTCATATTTTGAAGTTCATCCACACAAACTCGAGCACAACAAATGTATTATATACCCAGACTATTGTAACCCTTTGTTTACTTGTAATTTTGTCCCTTTCTATCTTGGAATAAATCTTTGTGCACTTTTCCTACTACATGTCTCTTGTTTTTCTTTGATGCTTGATAAACACTGAATCTACATGATTACATCCATAAAGGTAAAGGTAAAGGTACCCCTGCCAGTACGGGCCAGTCTTGCCAGACTCTGGGGTTGTGCGCCCATCTCACTCAAGAGGCCGGGGGCCAGCGCTGTCCGGAGACACTTCCGGGTCACGTGGCCAGCGTGACATCGCTGCTCTGGCGAGCCAGAGCCGCACACGGAAACGCCGTTTACCTTCCCGCTAGAAAGCGGTCCCTATTTATCTACTTGCACCCGGGGGTGCTTTCGAACTGCTAGGTTGGCAGGCGCTGGGACCGAGCAACGGGAGCGCACCCCGCCACGGGGATTCGAACCGCCGACCTTTCGATCGGCAAGCCCTAGGCGCTGAGGCTTTTACCCACAGCGCCACCCGCGTCCCCGATTACATCCATAGACCTTTATTAATTCTTAAGAGGGTCTCTTCTCCAGAGAGTAGTTGGAAGTGGGGAGGCAGAAAAAGGTTCACCTTTCCTTCCACGCTGCAGTTTTAATCTGAAATCTTAGGCACAGTACTGCACCCAGAGCTCAGAAACTGCTCGCACTAATGAAATTCCCTGTCGCAAAATTCACCTGGAACAATGGGAGTTTCAAACATTGACAGAAATACTTTCAAGGCTTATTCATAGAGGTCTGTTCTTGAAATGTGACTAGTAAGTAGTGGAAAGTAAAGTGCTTTTAAATAATTCACTGTTCCTTTAAGAGCAATCATCCTCTTGAAAGCTATGGTAAAACTTGTATTGATTTGTTCTTCCCTCTGATGAACAAATCCAGTAGTAGAGTCCTTGTGAGAAAAAATCATAGACAACCAATGAACATCCCTGCTGCATAGGCAAGTTCTGCTTTGTGCAGTATGTAGGTTGATGGATATGTATGAAATGGTCACTGTGCCTGGGCCCATCTACAGCTATGGGCTTGTTGGTTCCTAACAACTGAAGCTTGTTCATTTTGGTATATTAATTCATTACTGCTTTCAGGATCCATTTCTTTTTAATCACACTTCGTAAAACAGATTCTCTTACTTCCCTGGGACCCACATAAATCCAACATCTTTTCTATCCATTTTATGCAGGTTCTCAAACTCAACTCAACCTACACAACTCACTAGTGTTTAAGGTACCCCAGGACTATTTATGGAGCAAGTTTGTTTATTTCATATATACTATTGATTGTAAAAAAACCCCCAAAGCTGTTTACAAAAGGGATAAAACAATAATATCAGTAGAAGAAACAATGAAAACATTCAAAAAATCAAAACCAATAATAAACTAAAAGCATATCAGTTGAGTAGTATGAAAGTTAACTGCAATAACAAAAGTAGGCACAGCTCCTTCCTCCAGCTTGGAAGACATTGCTACACCCTTCATTTACCTGATACTCTCTGCTTTGTGGGAGGGAGGGCACAATAAGATGAAGGGAAAGTTGGCATTCAAGCCAAGCCAGCCTTCCATGCCTGTTTGAATAGTTGTGTGATAGAGACAACTGGATTCTAAGTATATGAAGTATGACTGGTCTCTTCTCTTGCTATCTTTTTGTCAGTTACTAAATACTGTTTTATTTTGGCAGGCCTTTGTTGTATGTGGCAGATCTTGTTTTTATGATTGGCTTTAGCTACTGATCCTGTCTCCTTGGCTAATTGTTTGTTTAATTTCTTTTTATATTTATCCAGACATTTATATTCCGCTATTCCGCTGTAAAAGCACCAGTTAGCTTACAACATGTAAAATTATAATTTAATAAAAACAACACTATAAAACAATCAAAGCTAGCTGCTTTTCACATGAGCAACTATAGGGATGTAAGGCTTGTGGAATGGGAAGAGATTTGGACAAGTAATCTCTGGTTTTCTACTTCTCAAATAAAAAGGGATGGCAAAGCAATCAAAGATGATCAAAATGCATAATAGGGAACAAAGAAAACTTTGGGGTGACTTGGAGGAGGTAACCTTTACTATGCCAGCAGCAGCTGCAGCCATTTTAAAAAATGCTTTCTAAAAGTGTACAAAAGAAACAAGCAGTCCAAGTCATTTGAAAAGCATTCTGTAGCAAAAAGCCCTACCAGTTCAGACTACAGACTGTGGAAAAGTTTACGACATTAGAGGATTTCATCCAGCTATAGGAGCACAGTGCTGGAAGTGTATATTTTTGCTATCATATTTTATACCCAGATAGAACAAGAAGCAGACCAGTTTTTCTTAGGCTGCCCATTTTGTAAAGACGATGATCTTCCCTGGAGAATAAACTTAACTATTTATGAGACAACATTAATTTTAAAGTAGTTTGAGGAGCCGATGTCACACTTCTTTCAGAGGAGACCTCTAACAGTCCCCTATCTGAACCTGCATAAGGCAGAAACCATTTCACATAGACCAGAGGCTTTCCTCCACTCCATTGAATGTTGTGCCACACAAACAAGCTACAAAGAGGAGCAGTTTGTGTTCACTGTGCTTTTCAGGATTGGCTAACCTGTTTCACCTCAGATGCTCAGCTCCTATTAGACCCAGCCAGTATTGCCAATACAATGGACATTGCAGTCCAACAACAGCTGGAAAGCCACAGGTTAATCACCCTGGTGAATGCCTTGCTACGTTATACCTGGATTATCGCCTCAGTCATGGAGTAGTAGCCAGAATGGTACTACTGACAACATGGGAGAAACTGAAGGAAAGTTTCAAGACTGGTCTAGTAAAAAGAGATCCTATGCACACTTCACCACTGGCATCCAGAAATGCCTTATTTAATTCCAAATGGCTAATCATGGAGATCAAGAACTTTGAGAAACCTTATACTATATTGGATCAGCATTCCATTGCTTCGGAGATGACTAGAAAGAACTTTGCTGACCATGAACAAATGGGTGAATTGGAAGACTTATTCCAGACCTTATGGTCTAACCAGATGGTTTGAGCAAATCTTACCCTGTAACTACTGCAGAAGAAATAGATCAGCACAACAGAAGGAACTTTAATCACTGCCCAGTAGACCTTGTGAAAGGCTAGCAGCTGACCTTTGTCAACTGAGAGACTGATATTATTTGGATGTCATGGGCCATTTCAGTGGCCTGTACTTGATATTATCTGTTGCATCATCATTGTTGCACAACTGAAGAATTAATATTTTTGGTTGCTTTGGGATATACCTGAGTGAAGCCAATGCTATTCTAGTCTTGTTTGAGAGAAACAGAATTTTTGACCCGGTTTCAACTAGTGTATCCTCAGAGTTTGTAATAGGCCTGTAATAAGACTTGTCCTGGGCACAGGGCAGTATTATGGATTTCCAGTACCTATATGCTACTGGACTAAGGGTTTCGGAGAAAAGTAATCCACAGTTTTCTTGGATTTAAAAAAGAAGAGGAACGTTTTTATTCAATCTTCCATATTCTTTTATAATTGTAAAGCCAACAGAGCAAAAATCTGAATTCTTTTTTCATAGGGTGTATAGTTCTTCAAAGGCATGCTGTGAAAACAGCCATGCTTTTGAAAAGCACATGCCTTAATACATGTTTTTCATTATCCACAGGGTGCCAGATATTACTGTGTTAATAAAACAGCCATTGTGAGGAAATACAGTATTTTTTTTTCTTTCAAAGGAGAGTTTCTAATGAGAAGTCACATGAAATCATATGCATTCCCGCTGGATTAAATCTCAGATGCCCAGCATTCCAGAAAATTAGCTACATTTCTTTTGCAAACTTGAAACTAATCACCCAAAGTTGGAAGACTTAATTTTAATGTTTGCTCAGACATCATAGTAAGAAAAGGAATGAAGAAACAAAGCTCCAAATATTCTTCCTGCCCCATTCCAGTTCCTTGCCTACCTGAGCCCATGATGTTGGAATGGAATTCTTTAGCTTGCTCCAAACAGCTTGAAAATTCTGTGTCTGCTAGAGCTTTAGGGCAAGAATCCAGTTGCCCCTTCTACTGCTGCTGTTCTAGGTATCTGCTAATGGGAGAGGAAGGAAGACAATCTGGAGGGGACAAAATGTTTTATGAAGAGGAGGCCACACAGACAGGATGTAAAACAAGTCCTTCAATATAAAGCAGCTCACTCTGCAAGCCAGAGAGTCAATACACTTCCCCCTTCCCATCCCAGTCTCATAGTCCTGAAGATACCAGGAGCAGGCTCTGCTGCAGGTTAATAGACAGCAGAGAAGATGGTGTGCCACCTAGCCACTCATTTGACTGATTTATGCTGGTTCTTGTCAGGATCCAGACATGAATGCTCTTCCCTAGCTTCTGGGACAAGTCACTGGCTTATTGTTTCTTGCCACTTGAGCAAACTGGAGTTGACCTGGTGCAGAATGTTCCTGTAGTTTTTTTAACTATTTCACAGAACTTGGTTGGCCTGTACCAGAGTATGTGCATTCATTATTCTAGCTTAGTAGATTTAAAACACTGTATTTTTATGTGATTTTAATAACAACACATTAATGCAACAGTGAGTCACAAGGCATACTGATTAAAGAAGCTAGAGCAATCATAGTGTCTTTTGTTGACTTACAAAAATGCAAGAACTTTAACTACTTTTTTCTTCTGTTTCTGTGTTCATTTTTTAATAGTTCCATTCATTGGCACCAATGTATTACCGTGGGTCAGCAGCAGCTGTTATAGTATATGATATCACCAAGCAGGTAAGCTTTCAAATCTCAGTTGTTCCATCAGGGACGGACCTTGGTTCTTCAGATTTCAGTGGTGTGAGGCACCCCGCCCACATTACATTCTGCTCAATTCACTACCTCATAGTTGTGATACCCTGTGACACCTGGGCTCAGCGCCCAGTGTGGCGGAACTGGTTGCAGTGCCCTAAACCCGCCTCTGGTTCCATCACTGGTATGTAGGTTACTCAGCAATTCACTTTCAAGTGGTCATAGTGTGAGTGTTCCCTGTGCCTTCTGCTAATATTATACTGTGTTCGCTTAGTCTTGCAAGTTGGTAGTATTTTCCTTAGTTCAGTGATGGCCAAACTTGGCCCTCCAGCTGTTTTGGGACTACAACTCCCATCATGCCTAGCTAACAGAACCAGGCATGATGGGAATTGTAGTCCCAAAACAGCTGGAGGGCCAAGTTTGGCCATCACTGCCTTAGTTAGTCAATGTGTTCCTGCATTCTGGATATGACTTCCAGATGTTTTTAACTACAGTTTCCATCAGCCTCAGCCAGCATTGCCAGTGGTCGGGAATGGTACTTGTGTGCCCAGGCTCTACAGCCCTCCAACATCCCAAATTTATAATTAAGAACCAAACAAGACACAATACTTCTGGGTGAAATAAGGCCACAACTTTATAGATTACAGATGTAAGAGGTTTGACATAGGTATTGGGTATAACTACCAGCCCATGTGCTGGCAGTATTACCAAAGGGGTCAACCCTGAGGCAGAGAGGATCTATGACTTACATCAAATAGGATTGTCTCCATGGGATCGCCATCTTAAGGGGTGCTGTCGCCATTGCCCCTGCCTGAGCGTCTAGACAGAACCAGAACTCTTTACCAGGATACCCACTTTTCTTGGAGGGGCAGGCCAAAGCCTACAACCTTCCCTCCAACCAAGACTAAGGCCAACCCAATGTCAAACCACCAAAGTTGTGACAATTGCTATGAGGTAGGCATAACCTTCAGACTGAGCCAATTTGTTTGAAGGAAAATCCCCACCCAACCTTGAATACGGCAACCAACGATGTCCATAGCAAGGTAAAGTAGATAAACAACAGTAGACTAAAACAAGGGAAGGGTGGGCGTGAGATCCGACAAGGAACTGTGTATGGATCAGGTGGCGGGACTCTTTAAATAGTCAGAGGCAGACCCAAGTGAAGTCTGCTGGCTCAGTTGAGCCCGCCCTCTGGAGAAAGCCCGTCTCTTGGTCTGCTAGCCATTGGCCAATTTGGCTGGCAAGCCTCCCAGCTGGTGAGGAAGACCATATTGGCTCCCCAACCCCACCCCGGTCAGAAAACCTCCATTAAGAGCACTGCCACATTGTATTGTGTAGGGGGAAGTGGTGGCCGGTCCACAACACCTCCACACCCATAAGTAAGGTAAGCAGACATGTAGCTCTAAACAGCTGGAGGGCATAAGGCTAGAGAAGGCTGGTGTATTCAGTGGGGCTTACTCCTCACACTAAGCAACCATGACATTCCCATACCTGCATTGGTATAGGAAAATTAGTACCTAAAAATATGACATATTTTCTAAAAATACAGAAATATATACATTTTATTTTGTGCAATTTGTATTTGCTCGGATATTTTTAAACTGTTCCAAAACAGTTCAGCTAAGTAAATGAAGTAATAACAAAATTGGCTCCATATTTATAGCTGAAATTAAAATTACGTAACAACAAGTCTTTGGTTTTTGACAGATTACTGAAATTGGGAAGTCAGTGTGGTCAGGACGTTCTCTGATACAACATCCAAATGGAAAGCTGCACATTTTCAAGGCCAAATTATGTATTTGTATTTTAGTAAGAAACCCATCTGCTAGTGCTGTGTAACAGGAAAGGCATTAATGAGTGAATATAATAGCTTGCCTGCAGTTTACATATTTAGCAAATTGAATTACATATTTGATTTTAGCTCAGAAGTGTTGGCACAATTAATTGGTATATTAGCAAAATTATTTATCAAGGGCTAACACCTTCCTGCGTAGTGGTAGTGAACTTGAATGAAGTGTTGGGGAGCTATGGAGGAAAGATAATGCACTCAATGCAAATAAAAAAATCCCATTAATTTCATACTAAATGGATATTTACCTTTAAACTAAACAACGGTGATTACAAAGGCCATACTCTAGTATGGTGCCTTAGGGGTGCATAAATTGACTTGTCAGACATTTATTACCAGAAACGACAAATCCCAAGCTCTCTTGTCTTGCTGTTCTCCTACTTTCTCACTATGAGGAGTAAGTAACATCTAATCCAGGTGGTACAATGATTTTCAATAATAGTGTCTTCATTCATATATATATAGAGAGAGAGACAGAGTGAGTTTTCTTGGTTCACAAAGGTATGCACAATGTCTCTTTTTTCAAGTTACATTTTCCATAGGTCAGTTTCATTTGTTGAGACATTAGGGTTCCATTAGGAAGAAAAAAGGGGGGAAGAGGTGGAGGGGGCCATGGTGGGTGGGGGTGGGGTCGGGAGGCGATATTTCTGTTTTGCTTAATGTATGTGTGGGGTTTTTTGTCAGTGTCATTTGTGCAGCTTCTCTTTGCTATTCTCTTGTGTTCTTTGGTGAGAGAAATTGTGGTTGGCCTAGGGTGCGGTTGCTTGTGCTTGATTGGCTGTGTTGAACTTTGTTTTCGTGTGTGAGTGGGGTCACTGGGAATTTTTAAATCAGATTAGCCATATTGATTCATATGCTGTTGGTGGATTCTTGTCATTGTCTTGTTGTGCTGTGTATGTGATGAAGGGTATCGTCCTCTATTTGTCCCCGTGTCAGTTTCAGTTTATCTGTTATTTTTTCTAGTAGGGCTGTTTCCCATACTATTTGGTACCATTGGTCCATGCTTACTCTTGACAGGTCTCTCCAGTGTCTTGCTATGATGCTTCTGGTTGCTAAGAGTAGATGGGTTACGAGTTCTTTGTGATATGAGTGGGCATTATTGTCTTGGAATATGTTTAGGTGTCTTCCTATATTGACTCTATTGGCTTTTTCATCCTTGGAAAGGGTAGAACATGACACCAGAGATATTGCATTCAAATAAATGGTATGGTAGATAATTGATTTCTCTCCATGGGGGAAGAGTCATGCATACCCAGATCCTTTATCAGGTTGTTTAAAAGGCCAAGAACTTTATGTGTCCACTAAAATACGTAACCCCCAATTTCACATGGTTTTGAGTCATTTTGACGCAGACTGGTTTTGCATCTTCCCAAGCTTCCAAAGGCCTCCTGGGCAAACAGAATTAGTCATAGAGCTGTAGACTATGATCAAAATATGTTTGAAAATTAAAATGAATAGTTTTACAAAGAAGGATTAAATGGTATTAATAGCAAGGAATTCTCAGGAGAGAAAAATGAAAACCATGCTATTGCCAAAGAAGCAAGTATTTGTGTGCAGCACAGAAATATAAGAGCACCCAATTTTTTTAAAATTTTTAATTATAGTTTAAATTATTGTATATTTAATTTTAAATATCCTATATTTGCTTGTTAATGTATTCATATTTGGCCTGATGTGGCTTATATTTTATTTTGCACGTGGAATTAGGAGGTAGAAAGACTGTACAGTGGTACCTCGGGTTAAGAACTTAATTCGTTCCCGAGGTCCGTTCTTAACCTGAAACTGTTCTTAACCTGAAGCACCACTTTAGCTAATGGGGCCTCCCACTGCTGCTGCGCTACCACCGCACGATTTCTATTTCTGTTCTCATCATGAAGCAAAGTTCTTAACCGGAGGTACTATTTCTGGGTTAGCGGAGTCTGTAACCTGAAGCATCTGTAACCTAAAGCATCTGTAACCCGAGGTACCACTGTATTTCATAAATAGTTCCCCCTCAGACGACACTTGGTACTTAAGTATCAAATATACCAATGCCACAACAGTTCTGAATTATGCAATCCCAGTCCTTTAAAATTCACCAAAGCAGGGACTTGATTTCCCCCCCTGCATTCAGTTTCCATGTGTCTTTAAAGGGAGATTACTGAATTAACCATGCTTGTGTCCTTTATAACTGCTGCCGCAAATAGGTACTTCTGTAATTAGGTGTGAGCAGATTGTTTGAGAAGCCACAATTGGACATACTGTTCTCTTAAAAGCTGGTTTAGTTAGATATAGGTTAACATCAGATGCAAGTTAAAGTTTATATTTGTTAAGGTCACTGATAATATCTTATCTAGTACTTTGGTATCCTTATGTCATTACAGGGTTCAGTATATTGATGCATTTAGCAACTTCCTGTTAATAGGCTCTTGTATTTAATTTAGGATTCATTTCATACACTGAAAAAATGGGTAAAAGAACTAAAAGAACATGGTCCTGAAAACATTGTAATGGCCATCGCTGGAAACAAATGTGATCTTTCTGATATTAGGTAAAGTATTGACCTTTTGTCTTCAAATTGCTTGTTATTGCCTCTTTCCCCCCCTACAATATCCCTGTGATATTGAGTGGCATATATGCTTGATTGCACTGGCACAAAGTCATATCAAGCCAATAAACAACATATCTGGATTTCTGTTTTCCTTTTATCAGCCTTTTGGTCATAGATCCTAAGTGTTTGATATCAGACGGTTTTTCTCAGCATCATAGAGAAATTCCTCTTCACAGTTTATTCACTTGATGAAAATACCATTTTGTTAAGGCTGATATAAATAGTGCAAGTTTATTGGATTAGTTTAAAATTAATTGGAAAGTTTATTGGAATGGTTTAAAACAGCTCTGCTTTTCAATAAACATCGTTGTCCTCTTAAATACAGTGGCACCTTGAGTTAAGAACTTAATTCATTCTGGAGGTCCATTCTTAACCTGAAACCGTTCTTAACCTGAGGTACGAATTTAGCTAATGGGGCCTTGCGCTGCCACTGCACAATTTCTGTTCTTATCCTGAAGCAAAGTTCTTAACCCGAGGTACTATTTCTGTGTTAGTGAAGTCTGTAACCTGAAGCGTCTGTAACCTGAGGTACCACTGTACGATGGGACGGGTAGGGCCCAGTGCCCCTGCCCCTATTGGCCTTGCGGACAAGGCCTACCCCAAATGGTGGGTCTGGCAATGCCAAAGGAGGCTGTGCCTGAGTGACAATCCCTTTCCCTGGCCCACAGGGAGATGGTGGATGCCATCCCCAGAACCAGCCGTGGCTGTGCTTTCCAGACATGGGTCTAAGCACTTTTGTCTTTGCCCCACCATTCCCCTGGAAAACTTGCTCTAAATGGGAGGGAATGAATCAATTCAGAGAAAACCCAATTGATGTTTGCTCCAATTCAGCTGTAAAGATGTGGTTTGCCAAGAGGAGGGGGAGAGGTAGGGCAAGCAAAAGTGTGGATGAACCCCAAGTGTCCTGTGGAAGCTATGCCCGTCCCTGTAAATTAGGGGTGGGGAACCTTCTTAGAACCATGGACCAGATCTGACAGGTAGGTGGGACTGCCCTTCTGTCATTATGTTATCACATGATTGCCAAGTGGGTTACCCCACCCATCTGTCAAAATCCCTTAAGCAGCTGACTTGGGCAAGTGCAAGGGAGCTCTCTTTGCCTCATGCTGCTCCTTTAAACTCCTGAAGTCAGAGGCTTAAAGGAGGAATGTGGGGAAGCTTGCAACGAGCAGCACAAGGAGGGGAGAAGTGTTTTCCATTGAGTAGAAACTGTTTTCCTTTCCTAGAGTAATGCAGGTTATAATAAGGAACACTTTAACTCGAGCAGCTACTTCCTATGTTTTTGGATTCACAGCAGTCTAATTTCAATTTTTAATTTTAGGGAGGTACCTATGAAAGATGCCAAAGAATATGGAGAGTCTATAGGTGCAATTGTTGTTGAAACGAGTGCCAAGCATGCAATTAACATTGAAGAACTCTTTCAAGGAATCAGTAAGTAAAGTCAGAATATTTGTGTGTGTAAAAAAACAACTTCAAGCTGCTTAGTATTTTTAATTTTTTTACATATAGAATATTTTGTTGATTTGTAGTAAAATAACCAATCATTTTCAACAAAACCTATATAATGTTACATACTTATATCATTAACATATAAAAATAAAAGTTGAGTGGGGACACTATCAAATAACTGAATCATTCAATGCATTGTCAAGACTTCAGCTATCCATGACATAGGCTATCCATAAGTAAGCATGAGTAGCTGGAGGCCTTGTGAAAAACATTGCATTTCTCATTTCTGTTTTTATGGAATAACAATAAAGGTGTTAGCAGCTGTTTAGAAATAAAAATCATTTCAGAGAATATAGGTTTAGATAACTTTGGGGGAAAATGAGTGCATGTCTTCTTCTTTGGCAATCACTCGTAGCCGAGTAAGATTGTCTTCCATAAACACGGTTTTAACAGTGAGCCCGTAAGTGACTGTGGATGCCAATTCTGGATCCACAGTGGGGACATTGGTTTCTGGGCGGGAGTTGTTTCTCCCATTCGTCCTGAGTTCTTCAAAGCCCATGACACCTTTGGTAAAGGCTGTTCTCCAGTTGGAGTGCTTGCAGGTCAGTGTTTCCCAGTTGTCAGTGTTTATACTACATTTTTTAAAAAACATTTGCCATGAGAGAGTCTTTAAACCTCTTTTGTTGACCACCAGCATTATGCCTTCCATTTTTAAGTTAAGAACTTATGAGTTAACTTTAACTTTGAACTTATGAGTGGATGTACAATACTCATAACAGGAGCATCATATACATTTACCATCGACATTAGTAACATCTGAAATATTTGCCTGATTAAAACTATACCTGCATAGTCAAGAGAATATATATTATAGCCCTATATTTACTTAGTATTACAGAACTGACGTTCCAGATAAAGACCTAAGGGACTTGTGAAGGATTTGCAGCTGCTGCTGTTTTATGTCTAACTGTGCCACCACTAACTAAATAAATCCACCAATATTACATTATTTTTAGTCTGCTGCTGAGAAGAGATAATTCAATATGTGTGAGGAGCCTTATGGCTGTAATCCTTAATGACACTGATATAGCAACCAAAAATAGCTGCCTACATTTTTCTTCGGCTGAAGTATATGCTACTTATTTATTATTATATTTGATACATTTATATCTCCTATTTCCTTCAAGGACCTTCACAGTAATCCTAGGAGATAGGACAGGCTGAGAAAGAGTTGCTTGGCCAAGGCCACCCAGTGAGTTTAATGCTGAGCAGGGATTTGAAGCTGGATTCCCCATCTACTCTTAATCCATTGGAACATGCTAGCTGTTTCTTAGGAAGTTATATTTATTTTAATTTATCATAAACATTTGTATAGTTGCTGTGGCGATTGCTCCATTTTGCATAGACTAGCTTGGCCTGTCTTAACACAGCAGGCTCTGACAGGTAGAACTTGATAGCCAGCTAGCCTGATTTCCCAGGCATAAGCAACCCCTCACACAAGCGGGTATGACATTGATTTTTCTAATTCTCGTCCTCCTTTATCTCCTTTTTCCTATTCATTTATACTTTGGAAGAAGGACAAAAAGGAGCTTATTCTTCTGGAAGCTTCGGCCAGTTTAGGACATAAGCTCTAGCAGGTTAGATACAAGCAGTGGTGTGACTGAGCAACTCAGGGCTAGCTATTGTTAATTGAATTTATATTGTGCTCTTCCACCAAAGGAACCCGGGATGGTTATATTAAGGGGATGAAGCCTTCCTCTCCACTTCCATAACACATAGTTTCACCTCTTTACCTGTAGCTATTTGCTGCCCTTGTGCTCTCATGTGGTGCACCACTACTCTCACTATGGCACATTGTTTCCTGGTACATGGGTGTTTCCTTCTCAAAGGAGAGCAGTTGTAAGGCCAGCCTTTTTTTACCCTTCTACTCAGGTTTTAGAAAGGTAAATCTACTAAGGTAAATCTACTCAAAACTTTGAGTAGGGTTTTTGAGGGCTGAGTCACACGAATACTCTGCCACTAACATAAATGTTAGAAGCCTGATCTTTGCTATTGAAAACACCTCTGACATCCAAGAGACTTATACTGACTGGCAAAGAATGTGAAAAGGGATATGGCTAGTCTCCTAGGGGGCACTAGAATCAGTGGCAGATGCCGATGTCTGAAATTGGACAAGTCTGACAAGAAGACACTATCAATCAATATATGTCAGTGGGTATAGCTCATTCAGAAGCTGACTTAGAACAGAGCCATCTTATCTTCTCTAAAGAGTGGCTGCTGACCTGCATAGTAAAATATAATTTCATCTGCTTGTCTATTACAACTCTCTGTGGTTCATTAAATTTGGCCTGATTATAGGAATTGCAGTCTTAAGACTGCAGCATTGCTGTACAGTATTCCCCTCCCTGCAACAGCTACCCATTGGGAAAGCTTCCCATAAAAGACATTTCAATATAGGTGGTTTTTGTTTGGATTTTATCCTAAAGTAATTCTGGCACTGATTAGAGCAGCTGCTTCGCATACCTTCCATTATGTGTCCACCTCCTCTGCCCAGATTATGAAGAATTCCTTTAGAAGTTTGTGACAATATGCTGCATGTTCATGCTTCCATAGCAAACAAAGGGTGACATATAAAAAGTGGACTTCACAAACAATAGAAGTTTAAACAAAGAGAAGCAAAACTGAGAAGATGCCATAATTTAGCACTATGTGACTATCAAAGCTCTCAGATTTGTAAGGGCAATAATATATGAAAAGAACATATAAGCCCGCTCTCCGCCCCCCCCCCCCCCGGAACAAGAGGCTACCACAGCTAATTTCATCTATGATTTCAGTGCAGTATAGTACATTTGATCTGTCAGCTTGAAGTATACTTTATTATGGAAAGATTAGACCTGAACTTCACTTATGATAAACTCAGCCCCAAATCTCCTTGATAGTGCAGAACATGACCTATTTGAGTGTTTTTTGAAGATGAGTGGTTTGAAGCAAGCAGCCTGTGTAACTTGTGTTTGGGTGGTAAATAAGCCTCTCCAAATCTTTAATCATTAAGCAGCCTAAATACTTAAGTATAGCAGCGTAAATCTAATAAATCATAAGAATGCAGACTCATACTTGTCAATAACTACATTTATTTCATTTCATGGGTTCATAGTATGCTGATGCATCAACAAAAAGGGAGTGAATACAAATTAGCTAATTTAGTTAGAATACTTATATCTACTTTATAGCATAAATAAATGCTGCAGTTCTATATACTTTTGCCTAGTATATAGCCCTATCAAACTCAATAAATCTTACTACTAAGTAGATATGTATAGGATTGCTAAATTACATAAATTATATAATTGCTAAATTATACAGTATGCCTAAAACTATTGTCTATGTTAACAGTATGCTTCTTTGAAACCAACCAAATGTACCACAAAATAGGAACCAAAGTTGAACAAATCCTTGCTGTACAATAAATGGTACATTAGAATAATTTATGTAATTCAGCTACTGCCAAAGGAACTTATTTCTAAGTGGGAAAGAGCCTCCCATTATCAAAATCTCTGTTAGTGACTTACAGTGCAATCCTAACCATGCCTACTCAGAAGTAAGTCTAATTGAATTTGATGAACATTGAACAGTGCAACTGACAAAATCCCAGTTTATGGGATGTGACCTTTGGAAAGCTGCCCAGCAGGGAATGCTGCCCTCTGGTTGAAAAAGGCTCCCCACCCTGTGCTACAAATTGCAGCTGGGAACCTGTACATGCAAAACATGCACATTGATATTGAGCTGTGGCCCTTCTTAATTTAGGCCACTTAAATAATCAGCGTCTAGGATAGGTGCTGATTTAAAAGCCTTGGCTGGCATATGCAGTTAATGCATGCAGTTCTCTTTAATTTAATTGGAACTCAGAGTGTATAACAAGGACTATAATGCAGATCTACTGCTAGAGCTAAGCAGGTCTAGTATTGTAAGATGCTTGGATGAAAGAACGCCTATGAACCATATGCTAACTTGCTCAGAGCAATTCAGAAGAAGTGTGGCATGTACGTAAAATAAAATTGCCTGGCCGTCAAAGATTATGGTTCAAGTCTAAATATACGAGCATTCAGAGATAATTGCCCCAGGGTTGCATTGTTAATTATGACCATGACATTCTGTATAACATACCACAGTATTGCCTCCCACTGAAAGACCAAGAAAAAGTGGGGGTGCAAGGAGACATCTGAAGGCAGCCCTGTTTAGGGAAATTTTTAATGAGTGATGTTTAAAAATACATTGAAATCTTTGTTGGAAGCCACCCAGAGTGGCTGGGGAAACCCATTCAGATGGGTGGGGTATAAATAAATTATTATTATTATTAAGCACCATATTAGAGATTGCTTAAGATCTTTTCTGCTTTACATAGAACCACAGAATTGTAGAGTTGGAAGAGGCCCCAAGGACCATCCATTCCAACCTCCTGCAGTGCAGGAATCTGAACTAAAGCATACATGACAGATGGCTGTCCAACCTCTGTTTAAAAGCCTCCAAAGAAGGAGAGTCCATCACCTCCTGAGGGAGACAGTTCCACTCTTACTGTCAGAAAGTTCTTCCCGATTAGTCAGATTCTACTTTCTTGTAACTTCCATTATTTTGGGTCCTAGACTCCAGAGAAGGAGAAAATAAGATTCCATCTTCCACATGACAGTCCTTTAGATATTTGAAGATGGCTATCATATCTCCTCTCAGAGTCTCATCTTTTCCAGGCTAAATATACCAAACTCAACCATTCCTTATAAAGCTTGGCTTCTAGACCAGTGTTTCCCAACCTTTTTTGGGCAAAGGCACACTTGTTTCATGAAAAAAATCTCGAGGCACACCACCATTAGAAAATGTTTAAAAAATTAACTCTGTGCCTATATTGACTACCGTATTTTTCGCCCTATAGGACGCACCGGCCATAGGACGCACCTAGATTTTGGGGGGGAAATAAAGGGAAAAAAATTATTCCCCCCCCCCAGACGCGGGGCTGGGGCGGGAGAAGCCCGAGCTTCCCCCGACCCCAGCCCCCAGAATGGGAGCCAGAGTGGATCCCGGAGCTTGCGGGACTGGGGGTGGGGGAAGCCAGAGCTTCCCCCGCCCCCAGCCCCCAGAAAGGGTCCGAGAGCGATGGCAAAGGTGAGCGCACCTTCGCCATCACTCCCAGAGCTTGCGGGGCTGGAGGTGGGGGAAGCCAGAGCTTCCCCCACCCCCAGCCCCCAGAAAGGGTCCGAGAGCGATGGCGAAGGTGAGCGCACCTTTGCCATTGCTCCCGGAGCTTGCAGGAGCTGGGGGTGGTGGAAGCCCGAGCTTCCCCCGCCCCCAGCCGCCAGAGCAGGTCAGAGAGCGATGGCGAAGGTGTGCGCACCTTCGCCATCGCTCTGGGACCTTGCGCGGGCTGGGGGCGGGGGAAGCCGGAGCTTCTCCCGTCCCCAGCCCCCAGAGCAGGTCGAAGAGCGATGGCGAAGGTGCGCGCACCTTCGCCATCACTCTGGGACCTTGCGCGGGCTGGGGGCGGGGGAAGCCGGAGCTTCTCCCGTCCCCAGCCCGCAGAGCAGGTCGGAGAGCGATGGCGAAGGTGAGCGCACCTTCCGCATCGCTCTGGGAACTTGCGCGGGCTGGGGGGGGGGAAGCCGGAGCTTCTCCCGTCCCCAGCCCCCAGAGCAGGTCGGAGAGCGATGGTGAAGGTGCGCGCACCTTCCGCATCGCTCTGGGACCTTGCGCGGGCTGGGGGCGGGGGAAGCCGGAGCTTCTCCCGTCCCCAGCCCGCAGAGCAGGTCGGAGAGCGATGGTGAAGGTGCGCGCACCTTCCGCATCGCTCTGGGACCTTGCGCGGGCTGGGGGCGGGGGAAGCCGGAGCTTCTCCCGTCCCCAGCCCCCAGAGCAGGTCGGAGAGCGATGGCGAAGGTGAGCGCACCTTCCGCATCGCTCTGGGACCTTGCGCGGGCTGGGGGCGGGGGAAGCCGGAGCTTCTCCCGTCCCCAGCCCCCAGAGCAGGTCGGAGAGCGATGGCGAAGGTGAGCGCACCTTCCGCATCGCTCTGGGACCTTGCGCGGGCTGGGGGCGGGGGAAGCCGGAGCTTCTCCCGTCCCCAGCCCGCAGAGCAGGTCGGAGAGCGATGGTGAAGGTGCGCGCACCTTCCGCATCGCTCTGGGACCTTGCGCGGGCTGGGGGCGGGGGAAGCCGGAGCTTCTCCCGTCCCCAGCCCGCAGAGCAGGTCGGAGAGCGATGGTGAAGGTGCGCGCACCTTCCGCATCGCTCTGGGACCTTGCGCGGGCTGGGGGCGGGGGAAGCCGGAGCTTCTCCCGTCCCCAGCCCCCAGAGCAGGTCGGAGAGCGATGGCGAAGGTGAGCGCACCTTCCGCATCGCTCTGGGACCTTGCGCGGGCTGGGGGCGGGGGAAGCCGGAGCTTCTCCCGTCCCCAGCCCCCCGAACGGGTCGGAGAGCGATGGCGAAGGTGCTCGCAGCTTTGGCATCGCTCTGCGAGCTTGCGCGGCTGGGGGGATAGCTTCCTTAAGCCTGGAGAGCAAGAGGGGTCGGTGCGCACCGACCCCTCTCGCTCTCCAGGCTTCAGCGAAAGCCTGCATTCGCGGCGATGGGATGTGGGAGCTCGCTCGCTCGCTGCCCCGCGTGTGCTCGCCGCCGCCGCCCCGCCTCTCGCCGCCCGACTCGCCCGCCTCCCTCCCACGGCACACTAGGCAACGTCTCACGGCACACTAGTGTGCCGCGGAACACCGGTTGGGAAACACTGTTCTAGACCCTTGATAATTTTGGCCCCCCTCCTCTGCACATGGAGCTGGTCCTTCCTGTGCAAGGGTAGAATCTTACATTTGTCTATATTGAAGTTTATTTTGTTAGTTTTGACCCAGTTCTCCAATTGTTAACGTCATATTGAATCCTGATTCTGTCTTCTGCAGCATGGGCTACCCCTCCCAGTTTGGTGTCATCTGCAAATTTGATGGGCATCTTACATGATACAGATGTTCCAAAGGGTGCCTTAACTTGAAATTGCCATATGTTTCAGAGAATGAGTGAATTGGCAACTGCCTTAGTTTTTCTATTAAACCATTAAAAAAATCCTAGAACATGAAGCAAAAAATCTGGCAACATATTGTTACTTAGATTATTGATCCTGAGTTCTTTAGAAATCCACAAGTAATATTCAATCATATTTTTGTGTAAAAACATTCTGTCCATGATGGAGAACCTCTCATCCTTGATCCTAATTAGGCCCACCAGGCCTCCCTGTTTTGTCTAAGCCACACCTACAGTATCTGCCCTAAATGTGATATTGTATGCTGTCAGCAGGTAAAGACTAAGTTGTCCCGAAAAAGGGGTTGCTATGCACCACCAGTCATCTGAGTGGGAGTACTGCAAAACACTTTGCATAGCACCTTGAGTGGCTCTTTGCAAGCACTGATAATCAGCTGTTTGTTGTTGCTTACAGAGGGCCATGTGCAGGGCTTTGAAGCCCCGATGAACAACTAATTGTAGGGACTTCAAAGCAGCAATTCTGTTTGTGCCCTTACTATTAGCTGATTATCTCGGCTTCAAAGCACCGTGGAATTTCCTGTTCACAGATCCCTTGTGTTGAATGCAATTTGGTCCTAAAAGAACATACCAGGCTTTGAACACTTGCATGTGTTTTGTTTTTCAACATGTCTAGGTCGACAGATTCCACCCTTGGAAACTCATGAAAATGGCAACAGTGGGACGATAAAACTTGGAAAGCAGACTGCACAAACAACTAAGCGGTGTTGTTAAACCAACTCAACCTGGTTTGCATTACTTGAAAAAAGAAAAGAAATCATTTGCTTATTTATTGAGCTACAGACTTCAGAAACTCAATGACAGAACATCTTGTCTAAAAGCAATAATATCAGTGCTTTTATTGGAATTGTAGGAGAAAGGTCTTGGATCTGCACAATTAAAGTGGACAATTCATTTTAGCAATAAACTGTTTAAAATATTGACTCAGATTATTGGAATAATCTGTTTAAACCAATGGGTATTTTAAATAAGCCTTTTGTTGATAAGAGCAAACGTTACATTTTCAGTACAATATTCTGATTTGACCTTTATGAAAAAAACATACTATGGTATTTTAACTAAGTGAAGGATATGTACTTCTTAATCTTTTTTTCTAACCAGATTTGGCTTCTGTGACTTTGTTTCTAAAGCAATAACTTAAAAGGGTGCCAATTAGGTAGCTATCTTTGAACAATAAATAGATAAAAATAATAGTAATTTCTTAAAAATAATAAAATTCTGGTAATTTTTAGCTTAAAGCTGTAGTTTCTTCTATACTTGAAAGGTAAAAGCAGTAATTGCAAACTCGACACTTTTAAGTACATTAGGAAGTCTTAAAGGAGTCAAGAGAGGGTGTAGCACTGTAAACTCAAAATGTTTGCATTTAACATCCAATTACCATAGTAAAAATGATTAGCAGATGCTGTTCCAGAAGCCAAAAATGAATAGGATAGCATACCTTCCACTCCAGATACTTGAATTCATTTAAAGCCCATCTGGTGGCGATGCAGTGCTCCATAGTTTGATACAATGAACTAAATTCTTCTTCTGTCTCCTTCAGTTTCAATTACTGGACTGAAGGTAGACAAGACAGCAGCAAACCCAGCTCTGTCACACCTGCCCTTTTTCACAAAGTATAAATCAGCTTTTAAAGGACTTCACCTTACAAATACTGAACTGGCATTTGATGCCAATGATATGTCTGGAAATAAGCAGATGGAAGTAGCCAAATTATGTGGCATCAATAACAACCACTGGACTCCAGTCCATAAAAACAGTGGTAAGAACAGTAGCACATATTTTATGTGTGTGTTGCCATATTCATTTCAGTCTTGCCACTGTCTTTGTTTCAAGTTGTTGAAAGTGGTGAAGTAGCACTGACGTAAATAATGTTGATCTGTGAGAAGAAAGCAACCTAAATACATTAGTAAAATCTGTGCATGGCCTTGTTGATCACAATCAGGGGAAATGTGGCATGGCTACATCACAACCTAAGCCTCAAAAGCCAGTGTTTTGCTGTTTGAAAAAAGAAGTGTGCAGTTGATTGTCTTTAAATATCTATAGGTTTTGCAACATGCACCCTTCGTGGTTGATTGAGAAAGGGTAGTTGCATTATTCTAGCATTTACCTTGAAGCTGTTGAAGGCTGAAGAATAACTTTCTGTGCAGTGAACTGATATAGATTGTACCACAACAGCTTATAAATGCAGTTTGGTTGCAAATACAGCACCATGAGAGGTTATTTTCATGCCCTCAGACACTGTATATAGAGATAACGCACAATACTGATTCAATGCTTGGGCAAGTTTATTGAATTGATACATTGCTATTAAGTTGCTTGTTCATATTTTATGTACTGAAGTAACAAAGAAAATGCTTCCATGTGGGCATGGGAGGAGCCAGTCAATTTTGCAATCCATGAGAAGCCCATTGAGCTGCATGATATGCTACTCCAGAGTACTTCTTGCTTTTGGGTGATGTTTTGGGGCTTCTACAGAAATGGGGGAACTGAAAATCCCCAGCTTATAAGTAGAAGTAATATTTTTCTTCTCTGCTCACATACATAGGTATTCTTACCTTAATAGGTTGTGAACCACATTACCAGTGGCTAAAGAAAGCCCCTTTTGGGAGCTAGAACTGTCAAATGACAAAATCATAAAGTTCTGGGTAATGTGCCTTTTCCTATGATAAACCAGAATGACCTTTTGTGTGTGCAAAGTTAGCTATATAATCCCCACCCCCCACCCCCACCCCCGCAGTTGGAATAGTTTCTGCCACCTCAGTTCTGCTTCTGCTTGCAAGATGACGGAAGAGATCAGTTGTGAAAACAGTAGCATTTTCCATAGGGGAATAGTATTTCAAAAACAAAAAATGAACATGAAATTGCTTAGATCTCATACTGTAAAAATGTTAAATCAATTCTACAAGCAATAGAATGGGTCCATACATGATACTGCAAATGGAGACAAAGCAAAACCCTTCACTAATACAGTGCAGACCATGAATGACTTCACATTTAATTACTTTTAAAATTTAATATGGTATACAATGGTGACAGTTTAAATGAAATTATGTCTTCCAGTTTTGCATGAAATATTATAAAAGATGGAGTAGGGGGGGAAATGCTACAAAGCATTCGAGATATGATTCCAAATTATTACAAGCTGCTTTACCTGTCTTCTATTAATGTATATGGCTGTTCAGTTTGAAAGCATCCCAGCGCAAGCAGATAAATAGGTACCGCTGTGGTGGGAAGGTAAATGGCATTTTTGTGCGCTCTGGCTTCCATCACAGTGTTCCATTGAGCCAGAAGTCATTTAGTCATGCTGGCCACATGACCTGGAAAGCTGTCTGTGGACAAACGCCAGCTCCCTAGGCCTGAATGCAAGAAGAGTGCCACACACCATAATCGCTTTTGACTGGACTTTAACTGTCCAGGGGTCCTTTACCTTTAAGTTGCTTTACGTGTCTTCTATTAATGTATATGGCATATACATGGCATAATGTATATATTTATAATAAGAGAGCAGAATATTGTTGATTGGGAGAAGCAAGTATAACCCATCATAAGTTATAGAGTAGGTGCATTTATGTGTTTTATGGATAAACTGTTTTATTGCAAAACTGTTTTTTCATGCCAACTGAACTGAAACTCCATTACTTTACAGAACTATAGAAATATGTGTTTGTCAGTGCATAGTTCACCATTATTTGTTTCATAGTAGTCTAACTTTCAGAGCCCAGCAAAAATGCTATACTCAGAAGCGATATACTCCAGAATAGCTATATAGTAGCCCAAACCAGAGGCACAGCTTAAATAAGAGGAATTAGGTGGTTTTGCATGAGCATTCTCTACTTAGGCCCTGGAAGCTGATACACAAAACCCTCATGTCTCATGACCTGGTCTCAAGTATATCATTTCTGTGGAATGAAATTGCTTTATTATCTCCTGTAGACCTATTTGATAAAATGTGAGCTTCAGAGTATAGTAACAGTCTGTAGAGCAGAGAAAATAGGCTATCTTCATGTATTTAACAAATTCAGTGGCGTAAGAAAGTGTGAAGAACTGGAGACACTGACAAGGTCTTCCAAGATTAAGCAGGTATATGGAAGCATAATACCAGTCTCAACAGGCTTTTGTTAGGTTTGATCATTTGGACAAAATGTAAAATGTCATTTGTTTCAGAATGAAAGGTCAAAATCACAAATGAGAGAAAAGTAGGGCATCACTTGTACTGCTATACAGGATGTGGCTTTAGCTGTGCACAGGAGTGGCTTTTACCTTTTCACAACTAATATCTGTTCCTATTCTGAAAAGTGGTTCTATGCTCAAGTCCATTAAAATAAAAGGGATTTATATACCAAGCAGAATGCAGAACTTCAGCCACATTTTCAGTTTTCTGTAGTGTTTATTCTGTGGCAATTACATTCAAGTATATTCAACACTGCAACTATTGATAAGCTGCTGTTTGAAAAGGTTTCCCTCTCCCATTTCCCCCTCATAAGATAGCATGCAGCTTGCACAATGTCTGGTATTTAGATTCTCCCCTTCCTCCTTTGGATTTGAAATAGACCATTGTAATCAATATTATGCTAGGTCCCAATTTAACAGGAGCTACCACTCTTAGTTGGCATGGTGATTATACCAGGTATAGGAGTAGAGCTGGTTTACATTGGGAGTGGCATGGTTTCCCCCACCGCCACATTTTGAACTTTGGGCTTTGCAGTCCTGATGTTTCTATGGTTACTGGTGATTAGAAGGCATTTCCAAATATATCTGGCCTACAGCAAGGCCATAGAGTCACAGAACATCTGACAAAAAGTGACTTGATCCCATGACTAATGTGATGGTGATTTTGGTGTCATGATGATATTGTCACTGATGTTGGGAAGGAATATGCCGCTGAACTGCAGGTAAGAACCTCTAGGATGTAGGATGGTGGTGGAATATGACTGCTAATGTTGACACAATGCAGGCTGCAGTAGGGCACATTACATGACTGCTGGTTAAAAGAGATACTGGCTATTGCTTCCTACTCTTGCTCAACAGCAATGCAAAATCTCCAGCACATGCCACACTGTTAATGTTATACAGATGTGGACCAGAGCTTTGGCTAAGTGCTTGGCTGGGTCATAGAGCAACACTGGAAAATATTTGTATCTGTAGGTAACATCATCTGATTACAATACAAAATGCCCGTCTTGACCAGCTAGCCCGACATGTGTCTCTGGAATACTTTAACTGGAACAAGTGCTAACATAGCTATAGCATAATCTGTAAATCCAGTATATCATGAGTTTCCAGCTCAAGAGAGTCATTCTTTAGTTGGAATGAATACAAGTTTCTGGAATCACATGAATGAACTGCTTTTTGAAGGAAAAGAAAACCATGAATTGTCTATTTATATGTTGACTTTGTGTTTGTTTGCTTCATAATCCCTCAGATATTAAGATTTGGACTTAATGGTTTGAACTCATACATATGACTTCTTAAAGCAATTGCATCAACACCTCCAGACAGATATGGGGGCAGCAGCATATTGTTAATGTAGCTATGATTTATATCTGGTCCTTATTAGCAGATGTAAGCCAAGAACAGTTGTATAGATAACATATTCCATATAACATTTGTGTATAGCGGTACTCATTTGATCGCTTTTTAAAAGTCTCCTTATGACAAGAGCATTGTGCATATATATTGTGCATATATATTGTGCATATATATTGGTAGCTATTTCTACTGGATAATTCTGGTTTGCATTTCTAGTGTATACAGTCAAAAACATACTTATTTTTTAAAAGTAGGACTTACTTCATTCCTGCATCCCTCATGCCATCTGGAGCAAGAGAGCTATGTTAGCTGACCAAGAAGTTGGCATATTTTATTTACCTCTTAGTGAAAACAGTTGCTTGGCTTGGTGGAACAACTTTGGCTGATCCTGGTTGATGGTGTTCTGGAAAAGATCATCTCAATGGCACAGGGGCCTATATTCCACTGCCTCAGAAAGACATCATGAACGGAGAACGAATTAGGCACTGAAGATGTGGCATGCATCCCAAAAGCCCAAATCACTCCACTAGGATTATTTTAGAGATGACAGGAGCTGCCCCATTTCCAGCAAAAGGAATGTGAGGGGAGGTGAATTGGGCTCTTATGATGCACTTCCCTGAGTCCAGTCTCCATTTTCTCCCAGGATTTTTGATTGATATCTGCCAGTCTAAGCTGTTAAAATAGCATAATAGTGCACATGTATCTGTTGACCGATGGCAGTAAGCTGCAGAACAAGAAACGAATCTTCAAATGGCAACAGATTTATCTAGTGTGCTTGAATATAATACAAGTGAATAATATTTTATATAGTTGATTCCATCCACACAATTGTGATTGTGCTTCTGTGCTCATGGCACTATTTCTGTGTAGACATATGCTTTTTCTTATTCCATCTTATTTGTTTAAACCCAGAAAAGCAATCAATTCCAGTGTAATGCTTTGTACTCAGTACTATCACTCTGTGTTGTTTATGCAAGGGCTTTCAATGGGCTGGACCCATTGGTGGTTATGTATGAGATGTTATAATCTTTTAATATTGTTGTGTCTATATTGTAATTGTATGATCAGAAACAAGATTTGTGTCTAAAACAATCATTTTTTATTTAATCAATAATGAATGATACTAATAAATATTCTTAATTTTTGCACCTTTTTGCCTTTGTTAGATGACAAAAATAAAAGAGAACGATGATCAGAACAGAAAGCACTTGTATTTCCTGATGGACATTCTTTTCTCTATAGAAAAGCATTTACAAGCCTATGCAAAAGTTTGGTTCTTCCACCATTTTGCATAAAATCAATTGAAAACTTTTGTAAGCAGTCTGTAAGTAATCTGACAATATAACTTTAAGAATTAACTATGCAAATCATTTTTGTGACCATTCCTTCTACACCTTTTAAATAAAACAGCTGCACATCCAATGCAATTTGTGAGATGTGAAGCTGCAGTCTTATGTAGACTTATTTGGGAATAAGTCTCATTGTACTCAGTGAGATTTACTTTCCCATAAATGTAAGCAGGTGCCATATTTAAGATGCCTCTGGCTATTCACACATCCTTGAAACTATTTTTTTCTAGAGGCTTTAACTTATATTGAGCTCTGGTATTGGGTGGGAGTTATAAAATCACAAATACACCTGGAAAGACATTGCTGTAGTTTGTTTATTATATTTTTTAAGAACATTTCTATACTACCTGCCAACAAGGTCTTGAGGTGTTGAACGCAAAAAAAAAAAGAAAAACAAGTACATTGTAAAATGCAGCTGCAATCAGGCAGAAACTTAAAAGCCAGCTAGAACCAGAATTATGCATCAGCAAAAGCTTGGTCGAATAACTACACTTTAAGGAGGTGCAGAGATACCATCATGGATGGTGCTTGCCTAAGCTTAGAAGATGTGGGTCTGCAAAAAAGAGTGCCACTACAGAAAAGGCTTACCCTCAGTGGCTGCCAGTCAAATCTCCAGTAGCTGTAGCATCCCCAGGAGGTCCTTATCAGATGAATGAAAGGCTCACATCAGGCAGTAGGGAAGATGAGGCTCTTGTATGGGTCCTGGGTCTCAAGTTTATGGCATCATCATCATCACCACCACCACCACTTAACTGCCCTTCACCATACACTCCCTGGATGGGCTACAACATCACAACACAATATCAATACCAGTTTACAACAATGTAAGTCACAGAAATAAGGTGGGCCTCTCTCCCGGGTTGCCACCTCTAAACTTCTGAAGGTGCAGGAACTACCAAGAGCGCTCCCTCCACTGTTCTTGGTACCCAATAACAGTTGAAGAATGCAGAATCTTCAAATCTGAATAATAACTCCCAACCCAGCTGCAAGGCAGGAATGGATCTGAGATACTTTAATTATTGATTAAAATGCCTCAATAAGTAGAAATAATACAAGAAAGATAGAAGAAAGATACTATGGTAGGTTCGTGGCTGCGTATAGAAAGAAAACAAAATTATTTACATGCATTAAATATCAAATGTTTAACAGTCCGTCTTACAACTGAATTATTAATGCTAAAACTGAATGACCAACAATGGGAGTGTTGTAGTGCTCAGGGCTTTTTGGTCTGGTAGGAAGTATAAGGGAAGCTTGATAGATGTAAAAGATAAGGACAGATAATTTTATATCATATTGAACCAATGCTTTCATCTGTAAAAGTAGTGTCCACCCTTTTGGGGCTGGTACACAGATATGTTTTTCCTGAATGAGTTGGCTTGTGCTATTATATAGTTTGAAACAGATATGTAATAACAGTAGTTTGATCTCAGATCAGTGAGTAGACACAAGCTTGTAAGAGAGACTAAATATGATTGCAAAATACTATGGCGACACATCATGTGTGGATCTCTCTCCTATGGAGCGACAGAAACAGAACTGCCCATTGAAAAGTTAACCACTTTGCTATCAATGCAAGATCACTGCCAAATAAGGTAGTGCAGAATAACTTATTTTTGTTTCTTTATATTAAAAGCTACAATTTTCTTTCTCAGTTCTAAAGGTCTTAGAGGTGTGTGTGTGTGTACAGATATTTCATACTTCAAAAAATAAATACCAAAGCGAAGTGGAGCTTTATCAAGGAGTGTCACTTTAAATACACCTGTGATTTCTCAAAGACCTGTTATGACTCCTGGTAATATATCTGATAAAATACTGTATGTACTTCAAACCTCCACTTGCTCATTCAAGTCTGTTAAAGCACTTAGGTTACCTACCAGAGTTGTGAAATAGATTCCCTGAAATTAAGCAGCAAGCTCAGCTTCAAGAGCTTTTTCTTCCTTATTCACATATCAGCTCAGTCACTCTATCTATGTAATTATGGGTAGGCTTGAGGTAGTTGCATGGTGCCCACTGCATGTAAAAACTAGACTGTTCCAAAGATAAACCACTTACCTGCCATTTATATTTTCAAGTTAGCTCTACATCTATTACTATGCATCAATGAATTATGACTTTGGGGTGTGTTGGGGGAAGGGAAGCAGCACAAATCATCGAGCACTTTCAGGAAAGAACACCAGTGCAGATTGCAGAAGATGAGAAAACGGATGTACTGAGTCAAGGCTCTGAGAGGGGTCCTGTAGCTTGAAGAATTCCATAATATGGCAGGTTTTGCCTAATACCGTTGTCCTCATTACAATATTAGTACTGTAATGGAAAAGTGCTGCAATTGGCAGAAAGTTTAATGTTATGCAGCTCTTAAAGGTACCAGTGTCTGGACATGGCAACCCAAAGGATTTAACCATGGCAAGATGCATAAAGCAGCAGAAACAGCTACTCGTAAGCTTTGTCTACTATTAAAGCTTAATATTACTTTATCATGATTCTATGATTACAAGTCACACAAGATCTGGAGGAGTAGGAAAAGGTTCTCCCCCTCTTTCTCCCTCTCACACACAAAATGCAGAGACACGTACATTGTATCGGTTGCAAGCTCCAATCTAGCAAGTTCTCATTAGTATCACCCATACCGTGGCCCTATGAATAATTCAACAGGAGGCTGTCAAAGATTCCGTCTATAAAACTATACAAGCTGACTGAAAAGGAATAAATGTTTTATAAATCACCTCAGATAAAAATGCAAGAATAGTACTTCATGATATGGAACTAGTTGCATGTAATTACATAAGATATTTGCAATAAACTGAATGCTGACTAAAAGTAAGAACAGAAGTAGGTTAATTACATTAAAAATTCAGTATTATTTTAAAAATTTGTATCCTCCCAATTTTTGGATTATGAAAACAATGAAAGTCATACTGACATTTCAGAAAAAATAACCCTAACAAAAGTCCTATTATTATTATTTTTTAACTCAGGGGAGCTATGTTGGAGATTTGGGCTGCAAGCCAATGCCTTACCTTCAAATCAGTAAAGTAAGAGCCCTGCTGGATTCCTCTCCCGTTCTTGATAAATATCCATCAGGGCAACCAAATCTCACTCAATCCCACTGCAAGGTCTTTTCTGCATCCCTTATTGCCTGTTTGCACTTTAAAGGCAAATTTGTGTTCCTTTTTGCTCTATTTCCCCCCCCTGAAGAAAACACCCTTGCCTTGTGTTTGCACTTAACCACACCAGCATTCTCTATGATTTGGTGATATGTTTCCTGTTCTGCTGTATACATTCTAGTGGAGCTTTCCACTGAGCACTACAGCTAGACTTTCTTTTAAGTAAACAAGCATAGGACTGTGGTTAACATGTCATGCATCCTGAGCAAGACTCATAATTCCTGTACCTAAACAAATATTGGCACAATTGTCTTTTGAGTTCAGATGCTTGTAACTGAACAATTTCTAGTCAGTTACTACATTTTAGTGGCTGCCCTAAGATCTGTTCTTTTCTCTCTTCTTTTCCAGGGTTCCCTGTACAATTGGGTACGTCAACATCTATATTTTGTTCTCATTGTGACCACATATATTCATTTTAAATGTGATACATTGATTGTAATTCTACTATGTCTGCCATGGGTGTGCCAATGCTTTTATTATTCCTCATACAGTATATTTTTATTACCACTGCAGTTTAATTCTGATGTGCTCCCCACCATATATTCCAAGTGATAGCTGCTTATCAATAAAAATACCGGTATGTGGAATTGCTTGGAATTTTATATATTTTCAGATAATTCTGTTATCAGTATTTCCACACCCACACCCTTGTGCCAACCTCAATTAGAGGGTCAAGGTCTCAAGGTGCAAAAAACACTTTGCCAAGGGAAACTGGGCAAAGATAGTGAGCAGGCTTATTCTGCTAAACAGATTGTGCGATCTTTGCAAATTTATAGCCAGCCCAGCAATATTTACGGTGGTAAAAATAACAAAGCAAGCGTTATTGAAAGAACTCAAGTGAAAAATAAATAAATCCAGTTTTCCTTTCTTTCTGATCCTCAGCGCAAAACATGTTATCTGTTTCGAATTTAACATTAAGCATTTAACCCGGCCACTCCTGCCACATGGGGGCAATTAAATGTCCCCAGCACTCAATGTACAGAGGGAACAGAGACCCGGACGGGCTACCTTTCTAACCCAAGTCAACTCCGTTTCTCCTTTGTTTGGCGACTACAACTCCCAGCATGCAACGTCCAGAGAACTAGAGAGCGATGCATGCTGGGAACCAACAGTTCCCAGCCCGCCTCCTTTTCCGCTGTTGGAGAATCCCGATGCTTTAACCCTTTGGTGTCATTTTCTCCTTCCGGTTTGCCCCGAGTACCACACTGTATCCCCCCCACCCACCTCCTCCGGAGGGGAGAATTCCTTTTTGACTGCCAAAAACCCAAACTTGTGGCGCCTTCAGGAGGCGCGTGACAGCTCTCCTCCCCATCCCGGCCCACGTGAGAGGAGGAGGAGGAGACCCACGTCTAGCGACCAGACCTGTCAACCGACCAGGGGGCGGGGGGGGTGGGGAAGAGGGACGAGCAGGCGGAGACTCGAAGCGGCGTTGGTGTTATGTGTCTTCGCGCGTGGCCGTGCGTGCGTGCGCGCGCACGGGCCTGCCTGCCTGCCTTTCTCCCCATAGGCTGACGTGCGGGTGCCAGAGCTTGAGGCGACCGCTGCCCTCGCGCCCGTGCCGTCGTCGGCGTCGAACGCAGTGCGCTGGGCAGCCGCGCGGGGGGTTCCTCACAGAGCGAGCCAAGTCCTTAACGGGAGAAGAAGGGGGGAAGGAAAGCGGGCAAGAAGAAAGCTGAGGCGGCGGCGGAGAGAGAGATAGAGTTTGTGAGAGAGAGAGAGAGAGAGAGAGAGAGGAGGAAGGAAGGCGGCGCGCGCGCCTCTCTGTCCGCGCGCGCCTCTAGAGGGAGCAAGGAGGAGGAGGAGGCGGCGGGCGCTGCTGCTGCTACGACTGCTACTCCTCGGTCGGCGTCCCTTCCCTTCTCTCCTTCCTCCCTCCCTCCCTCCCCGACCGGAGTGTCCTCCCTTTACCTACCCACCCACCCTCTCCGCCTCCTCCTCCCGGACTGAGCGAGCGAGGGAGCAGCGATGGCGGCCGCCGGGGCTCTCTCCAAGCACGAACAGATCCTGGTCCTCGATCCGCCCACCGACCTCAAATTCAAAGGTACGAGAGAGCGAGAGCGGGCGGAGGAGCAGGAATCCTTCCCAATGGGTGGGGGGGGGGAGGGCGGCGGCGGCGATGCCCAAAAGGGTGGACGGGGAAAGGCAACTCTTTCCTCCCCCGCCCGGCGCCGTGTTTAGCGGTGGGGCTGAGAGATGTGGGGCGGGGAGCGGAGCGGGCGGCAAGAAGGCCTGGCCCAGCCGCCCTCCTTCCACAGAGATTCGGGTGGGAGGTTTGAATCGGGAGGGACGGGACGAGGCGTCGCCGTCGCCATCTTGCTCTCTCCTCCTGTCTTCTCCCGCCCCGGTTCGCCGTCGGTGTGCGGTGCTGAGGCGGGAGCCTCTCTAACCTCCCCCGCTTCCCCGACCTCCTCGCGTCACCCTGAGCAGCGGGCTTGGCCGGCCCCAGTTACGGCTCCATCCGCCGGCGGAGGGCGAGAGAGGGAAGCTGGCCTGGCGAGTCTGCGGAGCCGGCCTTAGGCGCTGCCAGCTCCTCCGCCCCTCCCCGGGCTCCTCTTCCGCAGCGCAGCCTGGACCAGGCCCTGCTTGGGCCAAATCTCCTCTTGGCCGGCCACCAGCTCGCCGCTGTCAGAGGAGTGCGGGGACGGCTTTCGCGCCACCCGTGTTTCCACGAGAGGCTCAAGATGCGGCTGGGCAGCCCTTGTATAAGATGGGGGAGGGGGAAACGCTGCACGTTTCCTACATTTCCAGGCGGCGCCTTCCCTTCCCCCGATTTCGTTGCCACCTCGATTCTTCCCTTCTGATATACCTGTAGTCGAGTGGTGGTATCTTGCACCAACGCCCTCTGACGTGTCATGTAAGGAGCTCGGTAATGGGCGTTTTCCATAGCAACGACACTCTTGATATTGGACACCTTGGGTTTAGTGAACGACACGTTTTTGTTGTTGTTGTTGGCAGAAATAAAAGCTTCACCTCCCCCCGCCCCGCAGGTGTGTTTCCTGAGACCGTGCATCGAATATAAGAATCGTGTACAAAGTACAGGATAAGTTTCTGTGCTTTGAGTATTTGTTGCTTCGGTATTCGGTGTGTTCTTATTTGCAGAATGTTTCTAATGCAATATATACAGAATGCTATTTTTTTTTTAGTTATCCCCCATTATAGCAGTGATATAGATGGTGATGAAATTGTAATGGCATTCGGAAAAGAGCCAAGATTCTTGGAGGGTAATTGCCAAAACACAGTAAACATATTCTGTTAGTCGTAAAATTGTACTCTGTCTCTGATTAGCACTAGGTTGAATGGATGGCTTTAGAAACATCACAATCTAAGTCTCAGTTGTCCGCTTATAAGAGGAATTAATATTACTTAAGTTACTGAGTTAGGTATAGGGAGGGCTATAGTAATATTATAACCTACCTTGAGCTAGATTGTAACTCTAACTGAAAAATATATCATTTTGAGCAAGTTTGTAATATTCAAAGGTTGATTAATGGGAGTTTAGGGAAGCAGGCAGTTAAAATGACATATTAGTGTTAGCTTTTTGGACACTTGGGGTGATAAAGTAATCTTGTTGCTCAAAGAAGGAAGTTGTGAATTCAGGTAGCATTTTATAATTTAATTATTTTATTTTTTATATTTTAAATAGCATTTCAGAATCTTCAAGCTCCGTTGCAACTTGACAATCATAAATCAGTTTTAGTTTAAAACCTCAAGCTAAACTTATTGCTTGGGAATCTCACTATTTTTTGTGAAATTTACAGATAATGTGTTCAGGAGGAAGATATGAAAATGTAAAAGTTTAGACTTAATTGATAAAAGTTACTCATTATGAGGTTTTTTGTGGTGGAGGTGGGATGAAGGGTAAGATAGAATGTTGTGGAAACATCTGTGGAATTCTTATAGACTCCAGGGTCTGCATGGGTCTGCAGCAGGCCTTCAGCTTTGGTTTTTGCATTACCTAGGGAAGTCATCTAGTTGAATCAGTTAAGATTTACTTCAGAGGAATTTTTGAAGCATCTACCTGTTGGGAGGCATGCTACTTCTTAAATCAATTTTTTAAAATTCCTGATATCATGTTTGCGTTTTTAGAATAATCTATAGCATAAAACCAGATAGTGGTTTCATTATAGTACCTGAACACAACTCAAAAGTAATTTAAAAGAAGAACATTTGCTTTGTTTGTATAAAGCCCAGTCAATGGCATTTTCAGCTTAAAAAACAACAACAACTTGGATGGCAAAGCTGAAGGTGTACAGTCCTTAGCTAGATTGAATACATGGAGGCTCCTTACCCTTGGTATGCTGGACTATCCTAAGTCTGTTGTCCTGAATTCAAGTTAGTGTGTTTAGTACTGTTGCCTCAGTTAAATTTAAATCTGAAATGAATATACTTGTAAGCCTATTTACTCTGATAAAACTTCTAAGCAAGTTTGCTTAGAGTAGCAACCACAATGTGGTAATGTACAGTGCATGTAAACCAAGTGTAGGCCTATTGAGTCTTGCCCTTGAGTCTCACTGGCATATATAGACATTTGTATAAGTAAATGTACAAATATTTACAAACGGCAGCTCCCTTGGCCTGAAAGTGAGATGAGCACCGCAACCCATAGTCGCCTTTGACTGGATTTAACCATCCAGGGATCCTTTACCTTGACCTTATAAGTAAAATGGTTGTCATTGCCAAATGTATTGAAACAATTAAGTAATGGGATTTCAGTTTGTTTCAGAATACAGAAGGATCCGGACACATTCTCATCCAGAGCTCTGATAAACTGGATTTCTGCCACAATCTTAAAACAGGTTTCCCTAGCAAATAAAGGCTTAGGACAGAATATATGGAGTGCTGTGCCAGTGCAATATCACAAATGTGACCTTATGCTGATATTGCAGGCAGACAATTCAGTGCAAATGTTTCAGATCAGGATGTAAGTGCTACAGGAATCAACATGATAACCTGACTTTTAGACATATTGCAGCTTGTAAAAAATTGTTTAAAGTTTATGACACAGTTCCAACGATGTTTTGACATTGTTGACAATGCACTGGCATTAACATATATAGAATAAGGGTAGTAGTTACACTGGATCCATATTTAAACCCCAGAAAAGCTTATCATATAAACACTTTTTAAAAATTGTAATATTATGCTGAAACAGGCTAGAACTCTTTACATCATAATTCAAAATAAAAGATTTTGCTGCAGTTCACCGTTTGAGTAGTACAAACAAATGGGTCACATTCATTGCCTTTGTATGTTGCTGATAATGCAAGTGTGCTTAAGTGGTAAACAAGACAAAAGTATTTCAAATATAAGTTCAAAATTACTATTTAACGTTCTTAAAAGTTACAGTTGAGCAGTCAGTGCCAGGCTGTCTTTCTCTGGTCAGGACACATTGATTTCGAGTTAATAGCTTATTGCATTGCCATAAAATTTATTTTAATATGTTTCCTTTGTTAAAAAAAAGTGTTTCTTAATAAAAAGTCTCTTAAATCCAGTAATGATGAAACATTCTTAATAACAATGGGTGATGTTTAGTGCATAACTGCATGTGGTTAAGTTAAAGTTGAAATAGATGGGCCTCAATCATGAATAGCAATGTTAAATCCCTCAGATATCCGATTTAAATTTTATCATATAGTAGGGCTGAAAGAGATGTCTGCCTTGGAAAGGAATTTCCAGCTGAAATACCTGGCTAGATGGCCAATAGCTTGACCCAATAGAAGACACCTTATTGTAACTATGCTATATCCTTAAGGGTGAGATCCATTGTATCTTGAATGGGTGTCCACTCGTGTAATGGGGCTTCCCCTTCCAGGGGACCCCTTGAAACAAATTTGGGGGGCAGATGGAGGTTAGAGAAGAGCAGTGTTAGAAATTAGTTGTGTTTTGCTACTGGCATGAGTCCAGTTGTGACCACATGCAGATCTCCATCTGGCTGGCTTCTCCAGCTTTCTTAATCAGGTAATCAGAAGAGCTTGTTTACTGCATTTATATCCCACCTTTTTCTCCAAGGAGTACATGGTTCATTCCCTCCCTCCCTACCTCAGCGACCCTGTGAGGTAGGTTAAGAGGCGGTGACAGGCCCAAGGTCACCCAGTGAGCTTCATGACTGAGTGGAGATTTGAACCCTGGCCTCCCAGGTCCTAGTCTAATACTTTAACCACTACACAACACTGGCTTCCTAGATTACTTCAGCTGTGGGGCAGTTATATAAATTAAGTAGGTAAATAAATAAACAGGGGAAAGCAAAATGTCACTTACGGAAGAATCTGAAATATTTTCCTTGAAGTTTGCATTTGTTTTATTCTGGATTGTTTTATTTGATGTTTTAATGTGTTGTAAACACATTATATCTTTAAAATATAAAGCAGTATAGAAATGAAATGAAAAATCACAATAATAAAAATAAATTTCAGTATTAAAAAATGGTGTCTAGACATTCCATTGTGGTGACCACAACCTTGGCTTAAGGTGCCATTTGGCGATTAGCTTATATATCGTGAGTTTCTCACACTGGAAAAGAGAAACCAGAAGTTCCATTACACAATCAGGTTAAATAATTGTATTTCACCCAGTGGATTTAAGGTGCCACACATAACTATTCTCTGTTGGTTACAAGTTTACACTAGCCATTGTTAACACTGCCCATATTAAAGAACAACATTTCATGCTTAGTTATTACATTTCAAGTACAGGTAGTTTAGTTACTGATGGAATTTCACCATGGTGAAGTCATGATGACATATTTTGTAATATTGTATTGGTGCATCAAAAGGTTTAAGCATTTTTGGAAATCTCTGCAAATAGAGCACAGAGGCTGTAGAATACTTTAGGCTTAACTATAAACTGCAGAATGTTGGAGACTTGGTGGATAATTGTTAAAACTGGTCTGATAACAGAAGTATAGTTCACCATTGCATAGCTGCTGGTATTGCAAAGGATATACACTTACTGCAAATTGAGACGCTTGCACTTAAGAGTAAAAATAGCTCACCATTAAACCCATCCCTCTGCCTTTAAGATCAGTTGCCAAAATTGGTCATT